TAAGTTTCCCGAGAATCATGATGCAGCATGTCGAATAGAGTGTCAATGATTATTTGTTTTCGAAAAAGCCTTAATGAAATTTATTATTCTAAGAATTTCTTCCAAATATGCCATATCTACAAAAATGATCGAGCTACCTATCTATACTCATTTCAGAGTTTAGAGATTTCTTCTTGGTCACTCTTTTGTAGTAGAGGTACTAGATTTTCTTTTAACCAATCTTGGAAACGATGATGTATTTGGGTATACACAAATCTAAATATATGGTTCATTTTCAAAACCATAAGGAATTTACAGTTCTCTCAATAATAATTTTTTATTAATCCTTGATCTCTCAAGTCTTTACTAACTCGAAGTTAGGTTTCTCAAAAATTGTTTTAATGATCATTATTATTGGTAGTTTGAGAGTGTGAAAAACTCCTTTTTCTTTTCCAGTCTTATCTTTCTTACACTATAAACAAAATGGCACATATCCCAAGATATCTCTAGTCAAAACCAACTAGGATATAGGTATGCAAAAAGTCTGTGTTTATGATCTCTTGGTCATTATTACCATGATCTTGGTGAAGCCCAACAAAAATTTCCAAAAATGAATCGATCGTGAACATTTTTGTTCTAGCTTGAAACAAAGGAATTGATGGTTGATATTCATATAGTTCGCAATGCCATATCTTTTAATGTTCAAAATCTCTTAAATTGGTTTTGTGAGGCCTTCATGAGATTAACTGATTTCAGATTAACTTCTTCCCAATAAGGTCCCATTTTTTGTTTTTTAAATTATGAGATTTTTGTATGAACATTTTTCTTATCTCGATGTTACTTTCCCATCACCATAGCATTTTTGCTGAAATTGATCTTGGCTACACTAGTCAATGAAGTTTTTCCTTTCATATCTTTCCACTTTTGTTAATCTGCATCTATGATCGGAAACGAGCCTTCCCATGAAACCTATGAAAAGATTTCTTTCGTTACTTATTAACAAGTTAACGACCATAATTCAATGGAAAACTACACAATCACTTCTTAGTCCCTCTTGACTGTTGAAGGAAGAGAATATGTACCCGGGATGAAACTGCTTTTATATCAAAGATTATTTGATATAACTACTTATCCAAATTTTATTTAATTTGCTTCTATCTTTACATTCCGCACACATTTTCACGTAAATGTATGATTTCTCAAACTTTGGGTTCTATTTTGTTATGAAATTCTTAATGCGCTTGCGAAAAACAATACTGGTCGTAATTCCAATGGATACTATTTCAATTTGCGAAAATTGAAGGGTGGATTGGTCCTTGCGAAATTGATGCAAACTGAAATGGTGTGTTTCTTTCAAATTTTCTAAATCAAGGCGCGTGTTCTAATGGTCTGACGTCATGATGATCTATATTCGGCGGTTGAGCTTGTTACACAAATTTGATGAGGTGGCAACGTTTTACTAGAACATTATTTCTGGAAATATTGGCGTGATTCTATTTGCTGGCGTATGAGAATGAAAAAATTTAATGCATGGTGGCGGTTTTTCTATCTCCACACCAATAAATGGTTCAAATTCAAATCCCACAACTTTGTCACCGTATATAAACCCTACAAAGAAACTTGTGATCAACGATTTTTTGATCAAATTAAATGGCCTCTTCTGATTTGATCGTATATCTTTCATGGAACAATCTTCTACCTCTACATTACTGAATATCAAGCTTAAGCAGAAATGGTTGTTGTTTTTGGTCCATCGAAGTAATCTCAATTGGTTCAACCTTGATCGTTTGCTTCGATCACTCTATAATGAAGAAAGCTCTGGTTTTGGTTGAATTTGTACTAATTTCTCAACTATCACTGGCATATTCAATAATAATATACAATAAGAAGATGGGGTTAATGAACTTTAAAATTCAAGGGCTGAAGAAGTCCATTTCCAAATCAAATTTCTACAAGTTGCTAGGGCTTCCAATTGCTAAAGATATGATCGCTCCAGAAATATCTGCATTTTCCATTATTTAGGTCTATCAACAAAGGGATATATACAGTAAAGTCCCAATATTTTCATCGATTTAACAAGAAAGTCCTAAAATTCATTTTTTTTGACAATAAAGTCCAAACTACTGACAGTTTTTGACACTTTTACACTTTGTTCCCAGTTAGCCGGTAATTAGGAATTTTTTTTGTCAAAAAAAATAAAGTTTAGGACTTTCTTGTCAAATCGTCAATTAGGACTTTACTGTCAAAAAAATAAAGTTTAGGACTTTTTTTGTTAAATCGTTGAAAATATTGAGACTTTAGTGTATATATAATTTTTTTTGGTTAGAAATTTAATGGTATGATACTTTTTAAGCATAAAAGTTATTGAAACCTTCACTAATCTGCTAGATCCTATTGAAATCCTTAAAGTTCGCTTCTTGTTAAATCGTTTTTTAATCTCAACAAACCGACATTGAAAAAAAATTGAGATAATCAATAAAGAAAGAAAGAAAGAACCACGGTTGTGTTGACTTTTTTGCAGCCCCAAAAATAGAGAAATAAGAAACCAAAAAAAACGAAATTGTCCTTCTTTCCCTTCTCCACATTCAAACTCTTTTGACTAAGTATGTGTTGTTTGTGTTTGTATAAAGCCAGGGCAATTTCGTTTTTTTAGGTTTCTAATTTCTCCAATTTTGAGACTGAAAAAAGCCAACACAACCCTGGTTCCTTCTTTGTTTCTTGATTATCTCAATTTTTTTCAGTATCGGTTTGTTGAGATTAAAAAAATGATTTGACAAGAAGCAAACGTAAAGGATTTCAAAAACATCTAACTGATTAGAGAAAGTTTCAATAAATCTTATGCTTAAAGAGTAGCATACCATTAAATTTCTAACCAAAAAAATTATATATACACTAAAGTCCTAATATTTTCAACAATTTGACAAAAAAAAGTCCTAAACTTCATTTTTTTGACAGTAAAGTCATAATTGAAGATTTGACAAGAAAGTCCTAAACTTTATTTTGTTGACAAAAAAAATCCTAATTACCGACTAACCGGGAAAAAAGGGTAAAAGTGTCAAACCCTGTCGGTAATTTGGACTTTATTGTCAAAAAATAAAGTTTAGGACTTTCTTGTTAAATCCATGAAAATATTGGGACTTTATTGTATATATCCCATCAAGAAATGGGGTATATCTCTGATTTATCAGTTCTTTCTCACTTTAAGAAGTCTGCCCTTCCACCCATTTGGAATGATCTATTTACAATTATGTTCAAATGCTTTTCTGAGAGATCAACTGGGTCTGATAATGCAAGTTAATTGTTTCACACTTTATTATATGGATTCTATGTTGATTTTGGAACTGTCTTGTGGGATCAATTTGTTCAAAGTCCTTCTTCAAAGACAAAGGACACAAAAATTCACCGTTCCTGCTTTTGGTCAATTGTGGTGAAGAATGTTATGCTCCATTATCATGTTTCAGAGATGCAAGATGTTGTTATTGCTTATATTCCCAAAATGCCAACCATAAGTTTTGTCACCACCGAACCAAAGAATTTCATGACCGTGGGTTCAATTTCTCAAGCCATGTTATCATGGGTTCCTGCTAATAATCCTATAATTGTTGAATACTTGAGCACCGCAGTTACTACTGGGGGTGATGTTTCTGAATCAATTCATAAAGAATAAATTCAAAGAAGAAAACAAAAAGGGAAATCTGTTGTTTATAAGAAACCCAAAAAGCTAAAGAGATGAAGACTTACTAAAGTTTTTGTTGAAGAAGAGTTAAGTGAGAATACTGAAAGCCTTGATCGTAATAAAAAAGGAATATGGTCTTAACAACGAAAAAGATTCTACAAATAATGTGTTGAATAAAATAACTGTTTCGGAGCCAATTCAAACATCTACTCCTATTTTTTCTTCGCACATGGAGTCTGAAGCAAAAAATTATAAATAGGTTGTTGATAACTCTTTTCTCAATCTTTCTAAAACACCTCCTTTACCACCAATTATTTCTACTACTTCTCTATTCACTCCAATTCCAGCAAGTATAAATTTTGATCTTGTTTCTCATTTTTCAATGAAACTATTTGAGATTCCTATCTTTAGTAAGGTAATTGCTACTTCTATGTCTCAAACCACAACTAATACAGAATCTCCACCAGAGGCTTCTACTTTTGAATCCCATTGGGAGGAGAATAGAACCCTAGGCATCCCAGTAACACATTTGATGTGGGGCCAAATGTCAATATTAATGTGAATTTGTCTCCATCTAATTATGATGTTGATGAATAAATTATTATGAAAGAAGATTCCGATTCCAATGATGATTTTGTTGCAACTGATTTTACATTTTATGTGGAAAGTGATGATGATGATGATGCTCTGATGACGAAAGGTGATTTTCGCAAGTTGAACAAGAAGTTAGACGGAATTATTTCTCAGTCTTGATCTTATGTGACTACAAAATATGAAGGAATGCTCGCTTCACATCAAGAAACAATTCATAAGCTTGTTCAATCCAATGATGACAATCTTTCACAACACAAAAGCTAGTTGATGAATCTTTTCAACTGATTAAGGAAGCTAGTTTGCAAGTCTCCAAGATTATCTCCGAAATCAAGTCTATTGAAACAAAGCAAGAGATTCATGAATTCATTTCAAACATCCTTTGACAAAAATGTTTTTGAAATGAAGAAGGTGATTCTTAATTTTCGGTCCTCGTTGCAGAATGAAAAAGATACCTTATCTGAACTTCGTTTCACAATATAGAAGGCCAATGTTGATCACCACACTTCTATTACAAACTCTATTCCCAACTTACATACAAGTCTTGTTCACGGGAACAAAATAATGGATGATTTGGCTTACTCAACCACAAAAATAAAAGTTCTAAAGGAATAATTGAACACTATTGCTCTTGATCTTGGCAAAAAAACGAAGAGATCCTATTGGTGAAAGGCAAAATTTTCAGATCAACCAACATTTAATCAAAATTGTTGAAACGAAAGATGCTCCTTATGGAGATTACGTGTTGCAACTCATGGATGCAAAGCTAAAGCCTATTCTCTCAAAATTGAATGATATTTCAAATGTTAAAAGTAGCAGGGCTACTTCACAACAAGGGGGAGAAGGCAGAGTATTTTCAAAAGTCAATATCAACAATCCTTACCAAACCGCTCCAATGGAAAAGAATAGTGACACAATTCATCCGGAGAAGACACATTGGAAGGAAAAAGTGAAGGATTTGAAAGAAAAGAAAACTGACCAAAAGGGTAATGTAGCTTTTGGTTCAGGAAAAGAAAATGTGAAGATTGTGTATGAAAATGTGACATCCCCCAATTTCTCGGTCAGAAAAGACCAATTTAGTTTATTATTTTAAAATAAAATCAGAGTAATCTTCCAAAAGATGTTGTAGAAATTGTCCCCAAAACAAAATATGATAAAATTTTATCAAAGCATTTCTTAAAGAAATGTATTTTCATTATAAAACAAAACATCGGGATGTCATGTTCCGATAAAGACAAAAAACATAAACAGTCCATTATAAGCCTTACATAAGTTATTTACATCTAATGACCTATAATCCAAAAATCTCTCGTTATCATCCAACTATGCTCTGGGTCCACTACCTGTAATATAAAAAGCTGAGTGGGTCAGGCTTGGGAGGCTAAGGTTTTCAACTCACAATAAATAGATTTATTAAGTTGAATCATTTAACAATCAACCCAATTACCCATCCCGATTATTTTATCTATTCTTAAAGATCTTAAGAATCATTTGACCTTCATTCATTCATTCCTAAGGATTATCCTAAGGAATAGACACGAAGTCCATCACTGCCAGGGTTCACAAATTACAACTGGTGAACACGTAGTTTAAAACATCTAGTAAACACGTAGTTCAAAAATACTTAATGAACACCTAGTTCAAAAACACCTAGTGAACACTCAGTTCACAAATACCTAATGAAAACAATCACCTAGTGAACACTTAGTTCAAAATACCTAGTGAACGCAATCACCTAATGAACATATAGTTCAAAAACACCTGATAAACACATCGTTCAAAACATCTATTAAACACTCAATTCAAAATACCTGATGAACACATAATTTCAAAAATGCCTACATGTTATGAGCCTGTTAAGTTTCCACTGGATTGTCTAAAAAAGTTTGTGGTCGTCATCTATATTCCACTAGATGACCGGAACATCATTAACATCGAGACCTCTCATCATTTTATTTCATCTCACAACAACTATTTCATCTACCCATGTTATATCCAACATATTTGTAGATAAAATACATATACAGTTTAAATCATTCTAAACATGTATAAAACATTCAATAAACATCCATCTCAAATAAACAAACAATATACATATACACATAACATGTATTTTATATGAAATCCTTCATATCTATGTGTAAGATGAAAGTGACTATACACTCACTAGATTTAACGATAATCGGGCAACACTTCATTTCTTAAAATGGTCGTTTTCGATAAAATCAGGATGTTTTCCCAAAAACCGAGCTTCACGTTGGCAGAGTTTCGGCTCGAAAACTATTTTTCCCGGGAGCGATGCTAGGATGATATATTACGGTTATGGGTAATTTCTGAAACAAAATGGAAAGTAGAGGGTGAAAAAAGCAAAAGTTGTAACATCAATTCGGCTAGCTTCGGTTCCTATTTATAGGAGACCGAAGCACCTTAGTATGCGGGGTGTACAACTCAAGTACGTGAGGCGTACTGGCTCGCACACCTCTTCGTTGGGTGTAATTTGGTACGTTGGTCGTATGAAGTGGACCAACTCGGACGCATCAAGGCTACGACACGTGGCTCACATGCGAAGGAGTAGGGAAGGTGATTGACTCCGGAACAGTTACACGAGTACGCTGGGCGTACTCTGAATCTTCAAACTTCAAAAGTTTGTAACTTTCGTATACGAGCTCTGTTTTTGACGTACTTTATATCCACGCGTAGGTGAGATCATGCTCTACAACTTTCGTTTAGACTCTGTCGGCTATTTTTGAATTTATTTTTAAAGTTATATTTTTAACAGGTCGGGACATGAAAAGTCCGATAAAAATTCATAACTTCTTCATCCAGCGTCCGTTTTCGTCTGTCTTTTTACCGTTAACCTATAATCAACAAGATCTTCGATTCTCGTTTAGATTGTTTTGACTAAAAATCACTCGATCTAAAATTCAAGTTTCGGGCTGCATACTGCTATGCCAAATCTTAGAAAATTCATAACTTCCTCGTACGAAGTTAGATTTGGACATTCTTTTGATGTACACTCTCGGTTTAACGAACATTACGACTTTTGTTTAGATCAATAATGTTAACAAGTACTTTATCGTAAATTTACTTTTTAAGTCATATAGTGTCGTGCCAGTTCTGTCGCGAAACTTCGAAAAGTCATAACGTCTTCGTTATAACTCGGATTTTGGCGTTCTTTATATATCCGGAATCCTTGTCACGACCAATAAAACTTGGTTAAGATTATACATTCTAAATAACCTTCTATCAGAAAGTCATTTTCGACGCTTATCGTCTCTAAATTGACTTGCCTGGATCTACGGACGTTACAGAAAAGGAAGATGAATTGAATCCCAAACTAACAAAGGAACAACAAGCCGAACAAGCGAAACGTGATGCGTTGCTGGATGAGATCAATACCACAAATGCGAAGATTAATTCAATGGAAGCTGAAAAGAAGAATGTTGAAGCAATTCTTGTGAACAAGAAAGCGTTGTTTCCTCCGTGGTCATTTGAATGAATTGAAGATGAAGCTATCAACAGTCTGAAGCTTTATTGGTTGGAGCCTCAAACCTCAGTCTCTGTTGAAAATGATTTGGAATGTCAAATTGACTTGCCAATTATAGTGAAAGCCTTCCAATTTTGGCTGTTTTGAAAATATTCAGAAAGTGCCTATGGGGAACACAACGATCAATAGAAAATTTTTCAATTTCTATGTGAAGAATTCTAAACCACAATACGAATCTTGGAATGTTAAAAAGATTTTTGGTTTGAAGGTTGGGAAATCTAAAGGGGTTGATGGTTTTACAAACATTCACTTCAAAGTTGTTCGTGGTCACAATCATGAAGTTTGTAACATTCAAGAAAATTTGAAAATTTTAAAACTCTTACAAAAATCCAAAAAACAACATTTAATACATATTGTTTTCAAAATAGGTTTCACATCAAAGTTTTCCCCATAAATCATATCACAAAATACAAGGAGGTGCACGATCAAACATTCGCATTTCCACGATTATCTGAGGCACCTGAAATATAACCAGAAATTATAAGCCTTGAGCTTAGTGATTCTTCTCCAAAATACCACCACATAACATAACAAACAACATCATGCATAAATGAGCCTTCAGCCGGACTGGATCGCCTCGCAGGACCTTCAGTCTGTCTGGACCACTCCCGAGCCTTCGACATAATTGGATTGCCTCGTAGGACCTATAGCCTATCCGGACCGCTCGCTAAGCCTTTTGCTTGACTGGAGCGTCGTGCAGGCCTTCAATCTATCCGGGCCGCCTTGGGTCTGTTGGCCTTCAACACAAAGTAGGACCTCCTCAACCCAACCACACACACACATGTTGACGTATACATAACTCATAAACATATAATCAATCAACAGGCAACCACAGATTATACGGATCAATAAGCATAACATCATCCTATCTACCAGTATACCAATCTAACAGATCATAACACATTTTAGTCCGACTATCTCATGATAGTCTCTTTTTAGTCTGGTCTCATTTTAGTCCGTTTCAATTTAGGTATTTTTTCGAAACAGGTAATATATATATATATATATATATATATATATATATATATATATATATATATATATATATATATATATATATAGGGAAGAGTTATTTGGAAAACAAAAAAAAACCCTAAAAATCATAAAAATACATAAAAAATACCAAGACATCACAAAACTTGTTTTTTTTGAATTTTTTTTAAATTTCGCTGAAAAAAAATAAAAAATCTTTTTTTTTTTTTTGTAAATTTTTTTTGAGCATTATTGACTTAAAAGTTGAGATTTTTTGATAAAAAATTTCAAAAAAAGTTTTGTAATCTCTAAGTATTTTTTATGCATTTTAATGATTTTTGGAGTATTTTTAGAGTTTTTTGTTTTCCAAAGAACCTAAACCTATATATATATATATATATATATATATATATATATATATATATATATATATATATATATATATATATATATATATATATATATATATATATGGTCCTAAAAGAGAGTACATAAGTGGGTCCATTTGTTCAAGAGTGGATTGATGGTCCACATTTTTCTGGGCTTGTCTATTGGTTCGACCCATCCCAACCAGACTGAAAAATTAGCATATATGTAGGCTTAATCCAGGAGGTCTCAGGTTGGTGGTTGGGACATAAATAACTACAAGCCTAATGCCTCGACAATGCATTCAATTTCAGTTTTGTTTTAAACCCAAACTGATTGTTGTTTAGGTAAAACTTTGATTGTTTGTTTATTTAGATGTTTGTAATAATTTATTAAATAGTAAGTATCTTAATAATACCCATTTTCTTTATGAAGTTTCGTACATTATTTTATGAATATTGTTCGAATCAAGGTTGTAAAAATCGTTCGGCGGTCAACTGGCAATAAACGATTAATCAGATTATGCGGAGATTAATCGGGGACCCTTAATTATTAATAAAATCATTTAAAAAATTAAAATTCTCTAAAAAACTAAGTATTTTAAAATTTTAAAATTCTGAAAATTTTAGTTTAATATTTTAAATTTTGAAAGCTTAAAATTTTGAAATTTTAAAATTTTAGTGTAAGATTTGAAAATTAATTAATTTTTTTTAATTTTTAAAAAAATTTCCGCCGAGACCCCCAAGGACGACTTTGACCATTTTCCGCAAAACACTCTAATCGTAATCGGTTTAAAACCGCTAAACGATTAATCGCTTATTAATCGACCGTCAAGGTCGATTTCTGCAACACTGGTTCGAATATAACACAATAAATTATTTCCCTTCCTGTTTGAAAATACCATTTTGCCATTTATATTTTGAAATGTATGGTATGTCCGGTAATTAGTTTTTAGTTTTCACCTTTCAATAAAAATTTGGAACTAAATAAAAAACTTCATTGTAGAATACGGGTGAAACCATCTTATTTTCAAACAAAAATTATCATTTTAAAAAATAATAATTTAATCAAACCATTCATCAAAATTAGAAAACCATGTTTGACAATCAAAACCCATGTATTGAAAATCCAAGTAGACAACAAAAATATATGGAAGTCTCATATCAAAATGTTGATGCGTTTGTACAGTCAAACATTGCTTTTGCTTTTTCGTTTGTCTAGAGAAATAACTAAAAAACATTTTATTAACAATTATAAGCCAAAGCTAACCGAATCCCCAAAATACCACACATAACAATAAAAGAAAAATACATACAAATAGAGTCTCTCGACTGTAATGTCGATGCACCTAAACAAGCAGTGACTAATGGATCTAGTGCATATTTAGTGATCCCAATGGTTAGTGGCTCTAGTGCACATCTAAACCTGAACCAACGATTAACAGATCTAGTGCATGTGTAACCCTAAACGGGAGTAATCTATGATCTTGACTTTAGTGTGGATCCACCATCAACCCCCAAACAAAACATAAAATGTGACATTCGTCAAATTTTGGTCAACAAAAGTCAACAATGGTCAACAAAAGTCAATTGTGCGTATATTAGGTCAAAAAGGTGAAATGTGATTTTCGTAACACCCCTAATATATTATTGAATATTATAATGTTACGTACGCTATTGTGAATCCATTATCGAATTTTATTGCAATCCATAAACTGCGGTAATGTAGTAATTCGATAAAACACATTAGTATTACGGGGAATTGGGTAATGTTCATAACACGAGGTTTATGTGTTCACAAATCTATAAACACATTTTAAACATCATATGGCCTAATATTTAGTTGATACTTCGGTGGTTGTTCTGGAAAAAAAGTCATACATCAAGAAAATGAATGTTATCACGATTTAACACTCATATTTTATATAACGAATTGGGAATTAGTCAAATTATAAGGTCTTAATATTATTATTAATGATATTGAATAGCATCATTTTTATTAGTTATTAAACCTTACCAATTTCTCATATTACACCACACTTTTATAAAAATACCAAACTTTTATAAAAGAGTTTAGTTTTTATAAAAACTTGCATAAGACAAATGGTGTCCCCTTTTCCCCACCATATCCTAACATCCAACATAATCATGATCTATTTATATTAAATAAATCAAAGAGGCTTACCTTGATTATTTTCATCAAAGAACCTTACCCTCATTAAAATATTCACAACACCATGTCTTATTATTTTAATGGAAATGGCTTACCTTGCCCCTTCCCCATTCAAGAACACTCATCACCCTCCTCTAATTTTCTTCCTCTATAAATTATGGTTGAATGCCCCTTCTCCCACCCCCTCCATCTTTAAACTTTCACAAACTCTCTCTAAGTGCTTCCAAGAGTTCCAAGTGTTTTTGCAAGCCTTTTGGTAAGTGTTACTCCTAATTTTCGAGATTTACAACCTTCCATCATCATCTTTTGGTTATTTTTAATCATAAGTTTAAATCAAAAACCCTAGTCAAGATCTTGCAATTCAAGGAGGTGTTGTCTTCCAAAGCTTGATTCCTACCTCATCTTTCTCACCATTTCTTGCCATCTTCAAGGGAAAGCACAAAAGGTGAGTTCATACCCCCATTTCTACTAGTTTTCATTCATTTTACACTTTCGGGGGAGGTTACATGCCATGCAAACAAAATACATTTTGGACAATGACTTTACACAAAGGTCCTAGATCTAATATATGATAGATACAACTTTTAACCTTTGCATAATACTCTTACATGCATGTTTATGTTATATTTATGACATATATACACATATTCATGTTTTCAAAGATAACATACAAGTCTCATTCTTTCATATGCACAAGCTTCTAATATTGAATCAGTGTATGGTGGATAATATCTTTATCCATAGGATAGTATTATTACACATTGGATAAACACAAACTAACATTTCTACCAAAGGTCTAGTTTTGAAAGATTAAAATTTGTTTTTACACATTGGATAAAACCATTACCCCTTGGATAATACCATTATCCATTGGGTAATATTATTACACACTTGGTAACCAACATACATGTAGAACAACACTTTGAACATGGGAAAGCTTCGATTTCATTTACAACCTAGAATAACATACTTTCGACGGGTTATAGGTGACATTTCTTCAACCATTACACTAAGTCTTGGACCTTATAATCGTTAAATCTTAAGTGAGTGGGAGAATTGTGTATAGATCTATATGAGTTTGACAACCCCACCTATGGTTACAAGCTACAACCAAGATCGACGTGTCAAGGGTGACAATTGTCTTAACATTTCACGACTTCTGAAGAAGCATCATGGCGGGCAGCATTACAGTCGATAGCTCGATTATAGGGGCATACTATAACATCAAATAGTGAAATTGTAGTGCAAAATACATTTATAAGTATGGTTATTTACTTATGCGTAACATTTATAAGTATGGTTATTCACGTATACACCACATTTATAAGTATGGTTATTTACTTACACACTACATTTATAAGTATGGTTCTTTAATTATACACAACATTTATAAGTATGGTTATTTACTTATATACTACATTTACAATTATGGTTATTTACTT